TAACACTCCTGCTTAATCTTCAGCAACAAAACATCAAAATTAAACTTTCTTGTTGAAAAGGAACAGAGACTTATTTTTACTTGTTAATTTTTCTCATTTAAAACGAATACCAAAGGTATAAGCATAACAAGGGTTGCTTGGTGCTGTGTGATTTGGTTGATTTACTCTGTCAAATAAATGCTGTATTTTCTGTCTGTGAGAACACCAGTTTTTCATGACTTTCATTGTGCCTACAAATGAAAGAATGCTAGCAGGTGCCATGGAGGAAGCAGAGGAGGCACCTCATGCTGTTATTTAATACCCTACTTAGGAGTGGCATACACTCCTTTTACTGCTTGATTACCACTACCTTGTTTCTGTGGAGCAACTTCATGGTTCTCTTACAGCTGTTGGGAAGGATGGTGAGTGACTGTCTCGTTAGGTTCACTGCCTCTTTGGTTGCAGGAGATACACAGGTTACCTGTGTCATCAAGCTGTCTTTGGACCCTTTTTGCAGAAGAAATGTGCTTACCTGGAAAGAAGTCTTCAGCCACAGAGCTGAAACTTTTAAAAATCTGAAGATTAAGTTGAATATTTAGTTGTTCCCAGCTTAAGATGTTAATAGTATTCAGCAGTCAGCATATATGTGTACAATCAAAAAACTTGAACCGTATTTTTTTAAGATGTAAGTTGCTGATGCATAGATACTTTATCACAGATTTAATGTGCTTAGTTGAGTACTGGTTAGCTATAGTGTACTGCAGAAGCCTTAACATATACTTTCTACCTGACCTAAAAAAGCTCATCTCTAGGACCATTTCTTTTTAATTCATCTGGATGATGATTGACAGGTATACACTGGGTAACTCTTTATTACTTCAGCACTGTGAACTAGGAGTATAACCATGATTAGCTGGAGTAAGGCTCTGTTTTATGTTAACTGTGAAACTACCAGCATGATACCTAAAGGAAAATTTAACTCCCATTTGTGTTTAATCCCAGTAAAACACTGGATATGGAAAAGCAAGTTGACTGTATTATTTCTTTTGAAAGATCTGTAATAGAACATAGACAATAAATCTCATGTCAGCAAATGAGCTTGTCAGCAAATAGTACATTCATTGAGGACGATAACATGTATGTATGAAAGCTTTCATACCTGTGCAGAATAAGGGGTTTTTTTCCAAAACAAACCCCATGTTCATGGCAAATGAGAATACTGGTAGTGTACCTTTCTTCCTCTCAACATAAGCAGCATTTCAGCTAAGAACAAGAATAGCTTCAGTTACGTTAATCTTCTGCCAGAAAATTGAAACAATCTTTCTAATGCAAAAAGTTTTGATATTTTTTTTAATTGACTTTTTTATTATATTTTTAAAACCTTTAACTTAATTCTTGGAGAGGATGTATGTATGCTTGTGTGTGTGTGTATGTGTCTGAGTAAAATAACAAATAAAATGCCTGGTTGTAGTACTTTGTCATCTGTTATTTCTCCATTACCACAGAAAAAGAAAAGTTGCCATGTTTTCCACTTTTGAAACTGCAGTGGTAACTTTCTTGTGTGTACTAAATAAACAGATATTCAAACCACTAACTTCCCTCTAATGGTTTTCTCTCTGTCAATACTGAAAACACCCATGTTTAAATACGTTTGTGAGTATTTGTAAACTCTTAGAGGCAGTCGTTAAGTAGTAGCAGTAGTCCTTTTACAGCTGTTTGGATTGCATTTGGAAATGAACAGATTAAAGAGATGTTTGCATTAAATCTAAACTTTAGACAAAAAATAATATTGAACCTCTTTTCTGAGGGAGAAGGATATCTTTTGGCTGCTTAAGACAAGAAACTGAGCAGGAACAGTGTAATAATCTGTCACTCATTCCTACGCCATGTGAGGAGAAAGATAAGCTGTGAAGGTTGTTTCCTTTTTTGGTAACAGGTCCATCCTGGCAAGACAGACGGCAATGGCAGCAGAAGCCAAACAGCTTTGCAATGCCAGCAGTGTGGTATGGAGGATGGTACTTTATGCACTCCTGACTCCCCACCTGCTGGGTTGGGAAAGGGTCTGGCAGTCTGCCAAAGTCAAATACACTGCACCATTTAATGAGTTTTACCTGTAACCAGGTTTGTGATGCTATTCTGCCCAGATTTGATAAGATGTGGGTGTCAAAATCCTGTCTAACTGGCAGTACGCTCTGTGGTTCGGATACCTGCAGCCTGGTGAAGTAGGGGGTGGTGGTGAAGAGGATCTTGGGTGGATGGCACGTACCAGCTGTGGTGGTGTGCTCAGTGCTGCTTGGCTTGGAGAAAGTTTGCTCTTTGCTTCTAGGAGCCATTGCTCAAAGCTGCCTTTGGGCCAAAGGGCAAGTGGGACTTGCAGAAATGCTGCTTAACTTGGAGTAAGTCCAGCACAAAATCCAGGTGGGATGGCCAGGATTCCTAGTGCTTACCTGTTTTACCAAGGGATAGACTACCTGGGCCTCCAGAGCTCCCTTGCACTTCTTTCTTCAGGCGCAGTCACGAATTCATCTCTACTTGCAAATATCCTATCAGTTGAGGAAATCCTGCTCCCTCCTTGAAAGGAGCCCCAGCACCCAGCAGTGCAGGGAGAAAATATCCTGGAGATGGATGAGACTTTTCAGGGTCAGAAGAAGGTGAGCAAGGCCAGTATGAACCAAGCAAAGACACAAAGAGTTTATAAGTCAGCTTTAAATTCTTTTACCATGTTTTCTGCGGTAAACACTTAGAGGAGTCAGGTATCAGGTGAAGCTGTGTCCAAGATATTTAACAAAGGGAAATGAGAAGGTGCTCATTTCCTAAAGTATCACACACAGAGAGGAAATTCTGCAGTTTAATGCCAGATAAGGATAGTTCAAATTTGCAGTCAGTGAAACCTAATGATTTCTAACGTGCAACTCCACTTTTCTAGGAATACTATTTATAAAGTACAAAACTGCAAAGCTTTTTTTCTATCAGCAGCCTTATTAAAAATACCATTTTATACTGACAGTTTTCTGTAATCATTACAAAGATCAGAAGATGTTTTTAATAGAAGCTTTCCTTTACCAAGCAGCCTTTGCTTTGTATCAGCTGTCAGAGAATGACTGAAACCTTTTTGTAACACAGATGTGCCAATTTTAAACAAACCCACAGCTCAGCAATGCAAGACAACACACTTAATGTTTCTGAGGAGAGAAATTAGTTTAAATTGGTTTCTTTGTTCCTCCCTAAACTCAAATGCTGTTGACTGAAGGATGCTGTACTAGAAATGCTAGTAGTCACCATAACTTAAGGAGTTTGTTTTTTTTTTATTTTACAACTATAAACATAATACTGGGGAGGGTGTGTGTGGGCTTTTTTCTTTTCTTGGCAGGTTTTGGGTTCTTTTTGGTTGTGGTTTTGTTTTTTTTTTTAATTAATTCTAAAGGCAGCTCTGCTCAGGATCAGTTTGGGACCATGTTATATAAGTGCACAAATGCACTGATTATCATGATATTACCAGTTTCTGTTTTGGAGAGCTGCTGGCAGTTTAGTGTCTTATTTTTCTGCAAATGTGTGCTTCCAGAGGGCTCGCTGATCCCTCAAGACAGCCTGCTCTTTAGGTGTGTCACTGAGCTCACACAACCACGGTGAGGTCCAGCGTCATTAAGTATCTTGGTACATGTCTGTGCAGTGTCTGGTGACTGTATCACCAACTGTTATTTAAAAGGAACAAATGGTTTGGGGCTCCTCCTATATTACTGGAAAGTTGGCAGCCTTTTCTCTGTCTTTTCTAGCTGTCTCCCTCAGTCTGCATGCAGAACAAGGGTTGATGCACTTCCAGAAATCTGACTTCAGATGCAAAAATAATTCCTCTATTCCATACTACTACAAACTGACAGGTGAAAACAGATAACACTTCCTAACCAAAAAACTTTGCAGAACAGTTGAAAAAATGTTAGCACATAGATGCAAAATCATGTGTTAGAAAGGGACAAGCTTGGTTTAGGCTTGGAATATTTTTCAAAAATGAAGCACACAACAACCTTCTAATTCATGCAAGGAAGACAAGCCTTTGGCAGCTGACTTCAGATGGAATAAGCTTCCTGCTCATTCAGGTAGGTGAGAAGTTTTGAGGCAAGGTCCATCCAGCTTTTTGCCAAGTGTATGTATAAGCTATACAGTAAATCAGCCTCCAGCACACTATTTTCAAGGGGGAAATTATGGATAATGTGTAGAAACTAAGGTATACACAGTGTGTCGCTTTTTAAATAAATAGCAATCACTCCATCAGCAATTCATATAAGCAGTGTAACAGGGCACTACTGTTTAGCATGCTAGAGATGCTCCATGGAAATAGGAATTCTTCCAAGACTGCCAGATCAGTACTTCATCACTAGTACCTATACAGTTCTGGTTTAAAAAAAAAACAAAAAAACAAACAAAAAACAACAAAAAACCACCCCAACAAAACAAAACAAACAAAAAAACCCCCAACAAAACAACAACAAAAAGAACACAACATGAAAGAGAAAGACACAATCTTTGAGAAACAAGATACAGTAATTTGATCAGTGCTGAGGCAGCATGTGGGAAGAAGGCAGCAAAAGATAGGGACCTTGCCAGGGATCAGTGAGCAGATGGCTCCTTCCAGAAATCCTTAGAATGAAGATGAGCAGTCAGTCTCTTCCTCCTGCTGCCATGACACTTCTCTGTGCATACCACCAAGAGAGATGCTGCACCTAAGGAAACCTCAAGCAGAGTATGTCAAGCAGATAGAAGGTCAAGACTTGCAAAGAACCAAAGCTGCTTCCTTATTTTTATAGTTCCACAAGAGTTTTTGTTCTGTGCAAACATTTTAAAGAAAAAAATAAAAGATGGAATTAAAAAATAAAAGGACCTTGAGACTGCACCTATTTCTTCTCATGGTTTTGTTGTTGTGGTTTAATCCTAGCCAGCAACTAAGCCCCACAGAGCCACTAGTTCACTTCCCCCAGTGGGCTGAGGGAGAGAATCAGAAGAGTAATAGTGAGAAAACTCATGGGTTGAGATAAAGACAGTTTAATAGGTAAAGCAAAAGCCACACACAAAACAAGGAATTAACTTACTACTTCCCATGGGCAGGCAGGTGTTCCACCATCCCCAGGAAAGCAGGGCTCTGGCATGTATAACAGTGACTTGGGAAAGACCATCCCTCTCAATGTCCTCCCCTTCCCTCTTCTTCCCCCAAGTCTATATGCTCACGAGGATGCCATATGGTATGGAATGTTCCTGTGGTCAGTGGGGGGCAGCAATCCCAGCTGTGTCCCCTCCCAACTGCACGTCCGTCCCCAGCCTCCTTGCTGATGGAGTGGTGTGAGAAGAAAAGGCCTTGACTCTGTTCAAGCACTGCTAATAACGAAACATAAATCCAAAATAGAGCCCCATACTGCTGTGAAGAAAATTATCTGAGACAAAACCAGCACAACTGTACAGACAACCAGTTTGTGGCACCCACTGAAGGAAAGGTGTGGGGTTTTTCCTCGTCAGTTGATCCCTGCTGTGTGTTGCTCCACTGTGTGGTGGTTGAAGCACTTGGTAGAGAAGTAGGAAAGAGGATGGAGAAAATGTGAAAACTGGAAGTGTATGGCTGTTTTGGCTGTGAAGATGCATGTGAACAACCATACAGCTTGAGTGGATCCATGCTGCTGCTGCAGCAGGAAATCAGACAAGTTCCTTCCTGAAGGGAGTGAGGCACTTGGGACATGAGCTGCTCCAGGGTCACATAAGGAGTCAAGAGAGCTGCTTGGACTGATGATCCTGGATCCCACTCCTCTGACATGTGCATGCATGTTCTTAATTTCCTTGAGTCAAGGAGCCAGACAAGGATGGTGCCAACTGCAGTGCTTGGAAAGGAAAAGCCTCACTATGAAGCAGATGTTTTAACAGCACCTTCTGATTAACCTTCAGTTTCCTTCAGTCTTCCTGCTTGCTTTAAATTTGTATCTTCTTTTTCTCCAGTTTTCCAACAGCAGTTCAGTAGCCAGCAAAATGGCAGTTGCCTCATTTCCTTGGTCTTAGCTACTGGAACTTAACTGGTAAGCAGGGAAACTCCTCATTCCTCCAGCAATGCAATGTGCCAAGTGCAAATTGTTAATTTAAGTGTATATAAAATCACTTCAAAGCATGAAAGAGGTGCAACTCTTTCCATTTTACAGACACAGGAAGAGATTGAGCATTGGGCAGGAGCCTCAGCTTTGATTGTTAGCAGAGTTGATGATAAAATCCAATGCACTGCATCCCAGGTTTTCTGCTGTAATTGTGGTGCCTTTTGGGCTTTCTCTAGACTAGAAACTTTTAAGTGCATGAGAAGGATGTGCCATATAATGAATTGTAATTAAAATCTATTTTAAATTGCATGCACACTTAACACCTGCTCCGTTTGTTGAAATTGGGCAGGAGGAAAGCATTCTCAAAGATGAGGGAAAGGAAGTGAAAATCAAGTGAAAGTGGGAGGCTACTTTACAGATGCTATTCACAGTAATTTGAAAACTGCCAAAAAAGACTGTGGAGCCATTTTTTAAAAGGTGACTGTAGGCTCTCCCACAGGAAGGCAATGAGGAAGCACCTACTGGCCATCAGTGGGACTTAGGCACCTGTCTTTGGGGTTTTAAAAAATAATTGTACTTGGTTAGTGAGTCACTAACAAAGGGTCTCATCCTAGTAGGCTTCAGGATGTACATTTTCTTTTAGCGAGATTCCAGCATAATGTAGACTCCATTTTTTGGTCCAAGTGTGGCTTTTGATTTGAGCTGCAAAGGAATCTGAAAGAAAAAAGAGCATCTTATGTACAGCTGTAGGTGTTTGTTTCTGTGTGTATAACACCCCCACAATACAGACAGACATTTTTGCTGGGGGTTCAGTTCATACCAGGATTACTGCAGAAGCTGTAAAGTACTTGTTCTACAGTCAGCTGTGCTAGTATAGTATTAAATAGAATCTACAGCCAGAGGCTGAGGCAGTGGTTCCCAAGTATATTGTAGATCTGAACAGGAAGAAATTAACTCTGTAAACTCTAGAGCTGCTGAGTGAGTGCCAGGTGCAATGTACATAGCAATAGGCATACACTAAAGTGCTGAGATCCTATGAAATATGTACACTCATTCTCACCTTCTATAAATCAAGATATTTTGACTGTGACATTGTTATACTACTCTCCACTAAGGTAGGGCTGTGTCACCATTTCTTTTGTTGGAAAAATTATATGTCTTGAATCACTTTTTGATTAAAGCATACAGCCTAGGCCTCTTGTCCCTCCTCATTATGAAAGTGTCTCCAGCAGTTTTCTCAAATGAAGTCACAAAGGCAAATCAGTTGTCCTCTGTCTAAGACACACTGTCAGCTCTCTCAAGTTGACAAGTCTAATCTTTTAGCCTCTCTGCATGTACAAACCTCAGTCTCTGGGCAGGTCTTGAATTGAAACTTCTGCAAAATCCTCAGCAGAGTAATTTTTGTCTCCAACAAACCCATTTTCATGCCGATGCAGCCACGAGGTCCTGCCCCAAAGGGCAGATATGCAAATGGATGTCGTTTCTTCTTGGCCTCCTCTGTAAACCTAAAAAGTGCAGAGATGGAAACCAGTTCAAGGAATGCTTTTTTGCTCCTGATTCCACGTTTTTCACTTAAATCTCAAAAGATGGTTATTTCAATTGGTATAAATGGACAGGTCAAGGGGACTATTGAACAGATGATGTCCTGACATCTTAAGTAAACAGATAATTGACTTTTCTGCCTTTGTCAGCTGGTGATTTCAGGAGAGGACAGACATGAGTATTACTTCCAATCTATCTTTCATGAATTCTCCTCATTTGAGGACCATGCTCAGAAGAATGATAACTTTAGGTGCAGACATGCTAGGGTGATGAGGGACATGTCCCTCACAGCTTTGCACATGTGAGGGAGAAATTACAGCTAAGAGGAATCTAATAGGCCGCATCTTGAACTAACTAGAATTAGCAACAGCATTCCTTGCTGTGCCCTGCAGATGAAGGTCAACAGGAATTGCTCTTTGAGGCTTTTAAGGGGAGATGAAATTTCATGGCATTGGACAGGCCATGGAAGATGGTTATTACAATTCAGTACAGCCCTTCTCTCTGCTCTTGGCCTAGAGAGACCAGGTTCACAACTGGGAAACATTAAAATTGCACACGGTTCTGTTCTTTGAGCCATCTCAGTACCTCAGTCCAGCTGGAAAGACTGATTAATGTGTCAGTCTGTATGCAGATCTGCATCAATTAGCTAGCTTTAAAATACTTGATCAGCCCATTAGAAATGAGCCTTTTTTTTTTTTTCCCCAGGAGAGAAACAAAATTCCTATTTTTCAACAACAGTTCAAAGAAAAAAAAAAGTAAAACCTGTTTGCCAACATCTGCAAAGATGAATGCCTACTGGATAGAATACGTACAGACAAGAATACAGTGTCTGAGTCAGTACAAGTTATGAGGGCCAGTGCATAATCATGGTCAGGCTAATCCTGGGCTTGTATTGAGTATTGAATCACTATGCAGAGTGGTGCCTCGAAAGAAGCAAATCTTTACAGTGATGGCATCACCCTGGAAATCTACATAATCCTCCCATGTCCCGAGGTATTTGGAGCTCTTCTTGTACTACCGAGCTACTTTTCCAGTTCTGTGCATGTATACAGGTTCTGTACTTCATGTATGGGGTCATCCCTGAAAATCTCTCATGTCTTTGGATATAGTTTGCCAGAACTTCAGACTGCTAAGCCCCAGAGAACTCAGGCAGGGTAGAAAGAGATGAGATGTAACACAGGCTATTTTGAGCTTTGGAAAAAAATAATATTGTATATTTCCACTAAACCCATCTCCATGCTTAGATATCCTAAAAAAGATCAAGTTACTACTCCAAAAAGTACTAGAGAAGCCTGTAATTTGAGACTGAAGGACCATTAACTTATATACTGTTGCATATCTCATCCAAACAGGTTAATGCAATTCTTGCCTTGCTCACCCCCTATTCTTGTAAATTTAAAGTCTCCCTTGTATTAATCCAAAGGCTGATTTCAAAATTAAATATTAGGGGTAAAAAGGCTGTAGCCAAATTATTTTATTTTTTGTTAAAAATTTTTAAATTCACTACCAAATGATACAAGCCGAGGAGAATGTTAGTAATTACACATCATTCCTCAGGGAAGTTTCAAAAGGGAATTAATCTCAGATTCATAACAAACAGCACTGTGTGAGTCAAGGGGAGTGCAGCCTCCACTGTCCATTTTACTCTGCAATGTGCTTTCATACTATTGGTAAAGTGGTGAATAAACAATTAGGAAACATTTGTAGATAAGCATTACTAAAAAAACCCACCCTAGACTTTCAGTTACTGCTAAGATTCCTCTCCAGCAAAAGCTCTGGGCTTCTCTAACCCTGAAAACACTCTTTTTCATGGCCAAAAGAGCCTGACAGAGCATATGCTTAGATTTATTCCAGAAGGAGCATTAGGCAAGCCCACCTACGCCATACATGTGTTGTCTTACTGGCAAAGATGGTTCTGGGCTGCCTGCCTCTCATCCAGTTGTTTGTGGAGCAGTCACTTTTTTTACTTAGCAAACTTTTCAGTGTAGTGGCAGCTTAAAATGCATCTGCCCACAAAACAGCTTAAAAATATAGCTGCCCACAAAACTGAACTGTGCTTCCACACAGCACCACATCAGCTGAAACTCTCCCTAAGATAGGGCACAGTACAAAACCACAGCTAGACAGTGTCCCCCCACCAGCTGAAGAGAAAAATACTTCATGTGAAAGTATGTCTTGCCAAGAAAGAACCAAGGATCCTAACTTAAATATGGAGAGCAAATTCCTGGTGGAAGATGGGGTAGGTTCCCCACTCACAGTGGACAAACACCATCACAAGATTTCAGGTGAAAAGGGCGCTCTAAACCAGCCAGGAGCTGGATGAGTTTCCCAGGTACATCCATGTCAGTGAATATGCTATCTCACTTTAGAATTTCTGCACGCAGAAGAGACATTATTCACAGGATCCAATTTGGAAATGGGTCTGAAAACCCATGCAACATTTCAACCTTGACCAAATCTCACACCATCTGTGGGATGCGCCAGTATCACTGCTTGTCTAATGTGGAAGTAGTAACATAATTTTATGGTCTAAATTAAACTAAATTCCACTCTTGGGTGACTGTGACTGTGAAAGAGCAGCAGGATCTGGTGTCTCCACTGGACAGGCTGGAGTTCTGTGCACACCCTAATGCATAAACCAGCATTTAACATTGATCTAAACAGGCCAAATTAAGGACTTCTACCTAAGAATGAAAAGCATTATTCCACATACCTCTCAGGAATAAACTTCTCAGGCTCTGGCCAGAACTCAGGGTTATGGTGGAGGTGTCCAACTGCAGTTTCAATGATGGCCCCAGCTGGAATATGCTGCCCCAGCACTACACAGTCTTTAGCTGCTTCCCGAGTGAATCTGCAATGTCATGTATCCCAGATGATTAATAAAGGTTAAAAATACAACAGGAGAGATCTATAAAAGAAAATCTCTTCAGCTGACCCTACAATTTCCAGAGTAACACTTTCTCAGTAGATAAATACAACAACTGTTGCTGATGTTAGTGTCTTCTCAGGTGTCCTCTCCAGTTAGAAGCCCATAGCTCCAGCCCAGACAGCTAATTTTTGCCCTTTTCATAGGAAAGAATTTCTGACTATGTAACATTTTCCAAAGTAATAACTGTTAAATTGCAACTTTATTATGAATGTTAGATTTAGACTAATTTTTAATGAAAATTGCTGATGACATGTATCTACAATCTCTAATTAAACAAGTACAAAGAATATGCTGGTTTGCTTTCAGGGGAAAAAAAAAAAGGATAGCAAATATAGTTTTGAGTTTGTTTATTTGAGAAGCTCCCCCATGTTGGTACAGTACCTGAAACTTAGCAAGAGATGGTTTTAGTATTAGGGCTAGATGTTCTGCTGCAGCTGCTACTACAAAAATACAACTAATTCATAAGCTTTGGAAAACCTCATTTCACATACACCCATCAAAAACAGGCATGACGTTAGCAAAAAACTGCAGTTTCCTCCCACCCCCTGGTGACAGGTGACAGAGTAGGACTGTCCTTAGGAACCTTATTGTGACAAGAAGACTGAAAAAAGCTGCCTGCCAAAGCCAAGCTTGGGTCTGTAAACCTTACAAAAAATTGTGTGTGGGTGTGCATGTGTGGTGGTAGGTTCTGATCTAGAACTTTTAGTGCTTCAGTGGTCACTACAGATCCCAAATCAGCCCAGAGCCAGGTGGGTGCCCTGCTATGTCAGTATGGGAGCTAGCTATTCCCTGGAACCAGCTGTGAGCACAGGGGCAAGACAACGTGCAGGAGCTCCCTTTCCTGCTTCCCACGCTCTGCTTAAAAAGTTGAACAAAGATTTCAGTTTCAGGGCTGTCAGTCTGGTATCACTACAGAAACACATTCTTTCCTCGCTGTCACCCATCTCTCTTTCTCACAGACAAATAAATAACAAAGGCTCCAAGCCTGCAACAAAACACTGGCATGCTAAAAAATGCATTGACAAGCTATTCTTTTCATTCTTACATGAATTTGGTGATAGTGGAAACACGAGTTCTGCGGAAGAAAGTTCTCTGGATAGTAAATTCATTGAAAAAAGGAAAACCAACTCATTTTATAACAGACTTAGCTGCTACTGATTTTTCCCCTAACTCAGCATTACCATTGTCATAGGCAATTAACATCTTTCAGAGGCACTGGGCTGTCCCATCCATTCCACATCCATCAGAGTAAAAGCCAGATCAATAAACACCACTGAAAATGCCAACCAAAATTTCAGAATAACTTTGCTCCATTCTCATTCTGTTTCCCATCTGACAAACATTGATTGTTTCCCAGTGATCCAGACAAAACTCAAAAGACCCCTGTTGCTTTAACCAGCAAAACCATTTTCACTTATGTACCATGTATAAGACAGTAAAGCCCCATCATCTCATCCAGGAGCAAATATCTTTGACATTTACTCTCTGAACAATCCTACAGAGGTCCTGCAGAAAAAAATCTTGACTTCCAATCTTTGTGAACATATAGAAGAGAATATGATTTAAAGTTTTTCTATTTTAAGGTGCTTGCAATCATGGGTTAAATTTTTCAAAGGCTCTCACAGCAAGCTCAGCTTTGGCTCCTTTCCAGTCATCTGAATTTTTCCTCCAGCTTCATGAGAAGCAGTGCAATGGGCTGATCACTTTGAAAAGTTCCATTCCTTAACATTTGTATTTATACTTGTGATAAGTCAGAACGTCAACAATCTAACAATTTTCTAACTTCCTTTTGCCTTGTTTTCAGTTCATCAACACAGTAGAATTAGTCTTGTGTGAATTGGGGTAAAACTTTCAGACATTAATGGATATTGTCATTAGTTTAGCTATGTTAATATAATGCAGTACTAAGTGAAAACAGGCTGAAGTTAAACACACATTGTCGTGGTTTTGCCCTGGCTCAATTTACTTTTATACCCCCACATACAATTACTATTAGTTGAGAGAAGGTTTATGCAGACAAAAAGAGACTGAATTAAAAAAAAGTATGAGTATTTATTATTAACAAACTAAAACTAAAGAATTATATCTACTTAAGTAAAAGGTATTATGTATTTACAAAAGATACTTCTCCCCCCACCTCCCTTTATATCAGTCCAAGGAGGAGAAGCAGTCCTTTTCTGTTCTCAGAATTCCAGCTCTCTCTCTCTCTCTCTAGTAACTCTGCAGCACTTTCGTCGTAATTGGAACTTCTTTATCTCTCTCTTATTCTGTGTTGGCCTCCAGGGCTGGGTTTACCCCCCTCCTGGGTTAAAACCGAAGGCTGAGGGTTACCCAGGTCCTGAAGGGTCTCCTTCCATAGACTTGCAAGGGGACACTTGCTTACTATGGATCTTCTTCCACAGGGTTACAGGGGATAATGGTTTAAGAGTTTACCCCTGTTTCCCTATGGAGGTCCCTCCCCATGGGAGAACAGTCCTTGATTGACTTCTCGACATGGGTCCAGTTTGGATCCCTTACTCGGATCCCAATATCCCACTTGAGTCATTTTCTGTTCCAGCGTAGGTTCTAATACCCGTCAGGGTCACAAATCTTCAGTAACAGCATGGATCTCTCACTGAGATCCCAGGTTTATCTGAGCCGTCTCGCTCCAGCATAAGCATCGATCCTTTCGAGGGTCACAAAGTCTTTAACAGGACTCTGCCTCATCTGAGCCGCTTTTACTCCAGCATAAGGCTTTATCTTTCTGTTAAAGTCACAAATCTCTGGTGCATCCACAAGCTCCTCTGTGAGCCGCATGGGGGGTCTCTTCACCCCAACAAACTTCTACAGGTGGCAGGGTTTTATTTTTCAGTCTTTACCCTGCTGAAGGGAGGGAGAGCGAAAAGGAGAAAAAGCAGTTCTCTCCCCTTCGAACTTTTCTTCTCTCTCTCCTGCGACTGCAGCTTTGACCTTGAAAGTCTTGTTATCTCATGGCTGGAATTCTTCTACAGCAGTTTTTCGTCTAAGCAGTTCGTCTTTTAAACCTTTTTTTCTTCACTCTCTCACAAGAGAGAAGGGAGGCTTCAGTGCTGCACCTGGCCCCCCCCCCGGCCCAAGCCGGGGAGGAGGGGGTCTTGGCCCTCCTCGGGCCCGCTACCCTTCTACATGGCTGCTGCTTCTAATTTCAACTGCGTCACAACCTTCTCTTCCGTTTTTCTTAAAGATGTAATTAGCAAAGGCGTCACTGAACTTTTTGATTGGTTTTTTTGTCCGGAAATCACCTGGACAAAACCATCCTCAGCCCCAGGGACGGGCTGGTGGGCAAAACCACGACACACATGTAAAATACAAATTTCTGGATGTGCAACCCTCGGCAGATCAGGGCCTTAAGGACCAACAAGCTAGGGCAGGTCTTTGGTCTGTATCTCTGAAGCCTGAGGCACACAGAAGCAGCAGCATCTGGCTTTTTGAGGCCAGGCCTGCTTCAAAATGGCTCCGTCCTCTAACCTTGGGGGACATGAAGAATAGTGAGGAAGCAACCTTGGCCAATCCGCTGTAAAAAAGCACTTTAGAAATACCAGAATTAGCCAGCTTTCCTTCAATGGGCCGCATTATATCTTTCAAATGCACAAAGCAGTATTGATGTTGGCACAGAGACGAAGAGACCATAGGTCTTCCAACAACAGATTTCCATCTTTACAGAGCTAGGGAGCTATCCTGTGGAATCAGAAGTAAAAAAACCCCAGATACCTGAAAGCAGGTGGGTACATGCGCAACGTCTCTGCAATCACCATGTCCAGATAAGGGAGTTCTTGTACATTTTGGTAATCAGGGACCATCTGAAAGGGTAAGAAGAAAGGAACAATTATATTTTCTCATATTTAAGAGCCAAACTCATCTCAGATTAGCTTTTAAATCATCTATTTTTTACTGGGCATCTTTCCTGTAGAAGAACTCGATGTCTTATCTAAAACAGTAAATGATAAAATTATACAAAAATGTGGGCAGTAATTAAATGTGTGTATAACATTCCTTTCATCATCAAAATGCTTTGGTGCACAGCCCAGATGAAAGTATAATAATAAATCAACTTGCTAGGAAGTATTAAAAACAGGGCATTACACAGAGCATTAACAGCTACAACAGATCTATTGCTTTATACATGCACTACAATCTGCACAGGACCCTTGTTTCTTCCCAAAGACAAGAGCACAGCTCACACTTTGTTCACAAGAAACAACAAGTCCAGCAGTTACTTTTGATGATGTTGGAGCAAACCCTTTGCCCCTTACCAGTTATAGAAATAAAGCAAAGAGCTAGTGCTGTGATGCCTGTGGAGGGGTGGAAACGGCACTGGAGGAAATGGGCACCCCGATGAGGAACAACAGGCAGTGGTAAATTGCTCTGCCAAGAAGGGGGGTGCAGTAGTGCCTGGGTAGAGAAGCCTATTTCCTCGTGTGGCCACCCCTTGCTTAATGCTTAATTCTGTGTGGTGGTCAATGCCTGTACCCACATTTTCTTAGGTCTACAAAGCCACCCAGCCCTTGACAATGAGTGGTGGGCACTAAAACCTGAACAGGGCTGTAGCTCAGAAGAGTTTTCCCTCTTCCTGGCAGCAAAGATACAATGAGAGACACCAAACCACGGCTGTCCAGCAGCAGCAGTGACAGAACTCAGTGCATGGATAAACAGGGAACTTCCTCCAGTGTAACCTTCCTTGGAAAGATGACATTTTCCCTGTCTTATTCAATGCTCTCAGCAGAGGGCAGCCAAAGAACATCGAATAACCTCATCAGGAAAGTGGAGTTTTGTTTTAAATTAGAGCATCTCCTGAAGACTGACACAGAGTAAATTGGAGAAAAGCACAGACGTCAGACTAGACTAAACCTTTTGTGAAGATTTGGGGCCCCTGCCGTTCACAAAGGGGACTGGATTCCATCCTTCCTTTATTTACTACAGCAGTTTTCATGTATAATGCATATTTTATTGAATTTTCATGCAAAAACATATGGTACATACTGAAAATACTAAGCAGAGAACAACTCCAGATGGTATGCAGAAAAGGCGTACAATAGAACACGGATACCTTGCTGGATTAGGGTATCCCACTTATTCAGCACTAAGCCACCATGCACCATTTCACATTAGCTGATCTTTTCTAGGAAGGAAATAGATACATTCTATTATCCCCATTTTTTGGCTCAGGAAAGGAAAGCAAAACCAGAGCAAACAATTTGCACAGCCTGAACAGAACCAGCATGTTTTTTCCTCTCTTAGGGAAAAAAATGCAACTCAGCTTATCAACAGATGAAGTATTTTGTCAGTATATGTCAAATATTATCAATACAGAAGTATGGACTGCACTGAAAGCATTTTTTATATTGCAGCGGTGCCTGTTAACTCAAACCTTTGGCTTCAGCCACTGGGTATCAGACAAAGGACTAGGAGACTAAAAGCCAAAAATGGCCACAATGTTGTGAGAACCATGGCTGAAGGCGGTGTGAGGAACTGTGCTCCAATAATGTCAGTGGCTAAAACCAAAAACCAACAACAGAAGGATGATTTTTATCATCCTTGTTTTGCAGAAAGAGATCTGCGGGCTATGTAACTTTGGAGGGTGGGGGGGTGGAGGGGAGGTGGATGGGAATCAATAGCAGAGGCTGGAAATGCAGATTCAAATTTCAAGCCTCCATGGCAATACCACCCTCTTCCATGCCCACATAGATGGTCCACTCTTTGATGCAAACGCATGCTGTGGTTGGTATTCTTTTATTTTTTTCTGCTAATTTTACAACTGTCTTTCAGAACATTACTCTGTTCTTTTTATACTGTTTTCTGCATGTCTCTGAATCCTGGGCAAGCATCTGAGTCCTGCCTCTGCAATCCATCCTGATCTCATGGCCAGGCTGGCTGAGGGAAGAGTTCTGGATCAGAGAAAATGAGTGGAGGAGCCAAGAGCACACTAAGATGTGTTCGATTCTCTGAACCATGCTCTTTCCACTGGGCCTTTCTGTCTCTCTCATAATCCCTCTACTTACTTCTGGAGTCAATAATTAAGATAATTATATGGTAACCTGATATAATAAGTAGCCACTAAATCAAACCATACATCAGCAAATAATATAACACTAAATTATTGGAGCTTTGATTTGCTCTTTCAAATAGCTTCTATACCTTCAGGGGATTAGCAGTTCAGAAAATAAAACAAAGGTGTAAAACCAGCTGATTTTCCTTAAAAGAAAATTGCTTTTGCTTACATAAAGAGGGGTCAGTCAAATGGCAGCAGAGTGAACTCTGCTATCGTGAGCACAACAGACACATCAGTCATTTCCTACATCTGATGCAACTTAATTATTGGCACTTCCATGCTTTTAGCATCAAAGTAGCTGGACCTAATTTAGTAGTTGTTTGCAAGGTCTGACCTACAGCTGCGTAAAGTACACACCAGCCAAGCAGCTCTGTTTAGGAAGGACAGTTTGTTGCTTTTTTTTCCCTTTCAAAGAAAATATTTTCCATTTGTTTTTCCACTCCCTCTCTTAAAAATATGCCTTTAGCCTAGCACATTTCAAAGGAACGTAAATATGCTTTTCTCCCTAAATGTCCCTATTTATATCTATCAACTGCTGGCAGGTTTGCTGGGGTGAGGGTTGGTATTGTGCAAACATGCCGCTTTAACCCCCAGCAAAAAAAAAAAAAAGGATAAAGTGCCTTGTACTCAAGATGGGGTGTGTTTTTTTCACTAAGAAAGATTCCTGTCTTTAACAAGTAGAGATGGGGTGAGGGAAAGACATTGCATATAACAAACCATCCTATATTTTAATTTTACTGTTACTGCTTTGCACAGCAGCTTTTCTTACGCTTTGCACAGCCCTGTAGTGTCTTTTCCTGTTGATGTGGAAGTGATGTGGCCGTGTAACATCTTGCAGTGTTTCTCTGCATGCACATTTTCCCAGTTTGATTTCCAGAGGTGTGACGGTACACCCTCACCAATCCCAGACCGTTTAATCACTTCTGAGGTCCAGAAAGCATCTAGTTTGGCTGCAAACTTTCCTTCATGACTGACAGAAAATCACAGGCCTCCCTTCCTTAGAAAAAGATGGAAAATTAATTCTTCAACCCACAGAGTACCCTGAGGTGAAATACCAGCAGTGATTATAAAATTGCCTATGTGCTACAATGATGACGCGTGTTTTAATCCCCGTATAAATTCCAAGAGAGATAACTACCTTCAGATCCACCTCTGCTTTTCAGAACTGGTTTTAGCATTTTCTAGGCAGGCAAACCTATTTTTTGCCACCACCCTCAGTTAACTTTTAATTCCTCAATGAACAGCAAGGAAATCCAAGTGCTGACAGGAGCGGTCTGGCCAATCGCTCTGCTGCAGTTTGAGATGTTACTGTTCCCAGTTGCTCGCTCTTCTTTGCTGGCTGTGGTTAGCATCACCACAGCCAAGTCAGCAGAAGGGAACATATGCCTGCACCTCAGTTGCTTCCATACAACGTCCAGAATGAACCAATCTTCAGTGACAGTCAAAGACAAGATACTAACTTCTCCCCAAAGTAGCTGATGAGTGAGGCACAGATCATCCTCCTCTACTGCCTCTGTTTTGGGAATGGTAATCCAAAGTACACATCAGTGTATAAGAGATTTCCACTCATCCTATTGGTCATGGTCTAGTAATGCTCAGCATCTGGGAATGAAAAAAAATCAGAGAAAATTTTGTGTAGCTGACAGTGTGACGTGCACCTGAAATCAATTTGGAAGCAGCAAAGTCTGCGAGACCACATTCCTCATAACAAGAGCTGCTGAGTCATGGCCTGATACTGAACCAGCTGAGATTTCTGAGAAATTACAATTCAAATTTGATGCCTCATGGGCAGGTGTGGCTGTGACAAAGTATGTGTCAGAGAGATGACGTGCAGATGCAGATCCATGAGTTATCTGTGTAGGCATACTTACATGGTCCACATGGGCTCTTCCCCAAAATGAAGACTTTGGATACCAATTGAACATGAGTCAAAAACAAGCCAACATCACTCCCAGCTTCTCTCACCAACCCCCCTTTCAAATTGCCAGAAGAGATATTCAGACAACAGGCATTCACAAACAGGTCAATAATGTTTCTGGATCAAATGGATCAAAAGCTGCCGATAGATCAAAGAATCTGCCTGGAGTTTTGACCTCTAGGAACTGCTCATCCCCTAACAGATCTAGAGCTTGTGTGCTTCACTCAACCTTTGAGAGGCGGAAGAAATGCAAGAACAGGAAGTACAATGTCAAACTGGGGTTGACCCACGACAATCTTGCCAACAACCATATCAAGAAAGGAAAGGTTAGAGCCAGGACAACACTGAAAATGTAGATCAATAAAAAAAGGGTTAGGATGGTTTAACAGACAGCTATCTTTGTCTTGCTTAAAGAAAGCTTGTCTCATGTTTTACCACTTCCATGACACCATGCTGGAATAACTGTAAAGCACCAAACTAAAACCTCCCTATAATCTCAGGCAGCAAGACAGGGACAAAGCTGATGAAGTAAAATTTCTTAGCTTTATCCTCAGAACTTGAACCAAACTCCTAAAAAGTACTTAAGACAGTCCTCATGCAAGGAAATTCTGGAAGTTCTTTCTGACTGGAAATCTTTTCTGCCTGTGGTCCAGCCTGCACCTGCCAAGTGAGATGTCCCTTTGAGGCACGGCACCAGGCAGAACCAGCTCATGGTGCTGGGGAAACAGGACCCTGAAGCTCCTGAGTCCCACTCATTCTGAGAGGCAGCTCATGGCAGAAGTTATTCCCTTAAGATACAGAAGAGCCTGCCTAAAATCACCAAGTGCCTGTTA